AATAATAATAATAAAAGAAAAGAATGTTCTGTGTTATAAACGCATGGCCCTAGCCTACCTTGTTATAACACACCCTTCCTCCCCACTCAGAGAACCCCCAGCCTGATCCCTTGTTCTTTTTGTGTATGGTTTTACCCAACCTGCATTTACTCCTAAAAGATATTTTTAAAATATATATGTGGGACTAGAGAAATGGCTCAGGGGCTAAGCGTGCTGGCTGCTCTTGCAAAGGACCCTGGTTCTGTTCCCAGCACCCACCTGTTGGCTAACAGCCATCCATAACTCAAGTTCCAAGGGATCTGATGCCCTCTTCTGGCCTCCACAGGCACTGTGTACACACGGTGCTCTTGCATACATGCAAAACACTTATACACATAAACTTTCTTTAAAATGTGTACTTATACCGGGCGTGGTGGTGCACGCCTTTAATCCCAGCACTTAGGAGGCAGAGGCAGGCGGATCTCTGTGAGTTCAAGGCCAGCCTGGTCTACATAGTGAGTTCCAGGACAGCTGGGGCTACAGGGAGACCCTGTCTCAAAAAGACCAAATAAATAAAATAATAAAATAAAATAAGTGTACTTATTTTGGGACTGGAGAGTTGGCTCAGCAGTTAAGAGCACTGGCTGCTCTTGCAGAGGACCTGGGTTTGATTCCCAGCACCCACATGGTGGCTAACAACCATCCTAATTCCAGTTCCAGGGAATCCAACACCCTTTTCTGACATCCACAGGCATTGCATGACACAGGTGCACCTACCTACATACAGGCAATACACTCATACATATGAAAATAATAAATTTTTTTTGTCTTTTTGAGATAGGGTCTCCCTGTAGCCCTAGCTGTCCTGGAACTCACTATGTAGACCAGGCTGGCCTTGAACTCACAGAGATCCGCCTGCCTCTGCCTCCCAAGTGCTGGGACTACAGGCGTGTGCCACCATGCCCAGCTATATTTTTTAAATGTGTACTTATTTTAAGCTTTTAAAAACAAGTGTCAGCTTTAGGGGACTTGCTTTCTCCTCTGTTTGCCATTTCCAAACAGTTCTGTTGTGGGACCTGAGTCCATGCACCATGACAGGTGTCTGCCCTCTTTGTCCACTCACCCTACTCTTGATCAACTGGAAGTTTTCCTGGTTCTTGCTATCATAGACAACACCAGGGCAAGCATTTCCATGTCCCCTGAGGCAATATTCTGCAGCAACATATATTCCTACAGTGCTATGTAGATAGTCAGTTTCTAAAGATAATGTTCAGCCACTGACTACACAGAGGCCTGGTTTTCACTCCCACCATAATGGATGAGAGCTCCACATGCTCCAAGGCCTCACCAATCCTTTATCTTGTCACATTTAAATGTTTCAATGAGAAATTTGATAAAAACCAGTTATCTACTACATTTCAACACACTGCCCCTTCAGGCTCTGGTAGGACCCCACTCTATCCACTGCTGAACTGTCAGTACCTGGCACAAGACCTGGTACACATCAAGTGTCTGGTAAGGTGGTACTTCGTGATTGAAGCAATAAGTGAGAATTTTGCAAGGTCCTTCATTATTCGTGAAGACCCTCAACCTGACATTTCCCTGGAGACTGACAGGGCAGTTCTCTACCACCATCATTGCCATTGCTCACCTTATGGAGGTAGGAGGATGAGAGGAACCAACTTTTTCTTCTCCTCTGCTTCCTGCCACCTCCCTCTAGCCACACACCCTCAGGTGGGCTCAGGACTTACTTAAACAGGACCCCGATGGGTCTCTGGTAATACTGGTGATAGGCAACCCAGGGGGGGATGAGGTATCGTTCCGGGCTGGGACCCTCATGTGAAAAGAGCAACGCTGCATCTTCAGGGTCCATGATGTAAACTGACTCCAGGTTGCCAAGCTTCTCTCTAGAGGAGTGAGAGAGGAGCTGATGTTGGAGCTGAGACAGCCATGAGAACCCTGGGCAGCCAAGTCTCTCCTCACAATGGATACTGAAGAGTTCTGGCTGGGACATGAGGCACAGTCCTTCACCTCATTGAGCCTTGGTCTTCTGTCTACGAACTGAAGATGGATCTAGCACCTGTTTCATGGGACTATGGAAGAACAAAGTATGACACACATATCTGTGACCATTGTGATTCATTCTGAGGGACAGTTTCATGGTCACTATGTTATGTAACACAGCACACCCCCAGGACCAGCCCTACCCCCAACCCAAACTGTCCACTCATGATCAAGTGTCTGTCTCACACTGGCTCTTCCTGTCCTGCTGGGCTCAGAGCCATGGCTCACTTCCGTGTCACCCTGCAGTGAACACCATATAATTTCCATGCTCCAGTCAGCCTGGCCCTTCTAGGATTGAGATTCAGGAATGGTAGCCCTGCCCCAAGAGTCAGACAGGGCCTTCTTTCAGTGCTATTTAAGTGAAATTGCTGGGCTGGAGAGATGGCTCCTCAGGTAAGAGCACATACTGCTCTTGAAAATGACCCCAGTTCAGTTCCCAGTACCTACACTGGGTGGATCTAAGGAATCTAACGCCTTCTTCTGGCCTCTAAGGATAACTACACTCATGTGCACATAACCTCACACAGACACATATACACACATACAAGTAACTAAAAATTAAAAATTTTTAAAGCACTTTTTAAAAATTTATTATCTTGGCTGGGTGTGGTGGTGCACGCCTTTAGTCCCAGCACTCGGGAGGCAGAGGCAGGCAGATCTCCGTGAGTTCAAGGCCAGCCTGGTCTACATAGTGAGTTTCAGGACAGCTGAGGCTACAGGGAGACCCTGTCCCAAAAAGACCAAAAAAAAATTTTTTTTATCTTTATTTTACGTGTATGTGTGTACTGCCTGCATGTAGGTAAGTGCACCTGTGTTGTGCAGTGCCCCCAGAGAACAGAAGAGGCTGTCAGATCCCCTGGGACTGGAGTTACAGATGGTTGTTAGCTGCCATGTGGGTGCTGGGATTTGGACCTGGGTCTTCTGTAAGAACAGTCAGCGTTCTTAAATGCTGAGCCATCTCTCCAGCCCCTTTGACACCCTTTGAAAAAAAAAAAAAACTAAGCTAAAACCACAGTAAAACAACAGGCTCCAGGAAAGTGTGCAGAAAGCAGGTGACAGATTCTTTGTAGTTACACTCTGATGACACACAAGCGTATGTATGACATTTCAAAAGAAGGGATTCCAGGAGAGATATGAAGGTGAATGACCAGATGAAAACAAGAGGAGATGACTGGTCTGAAAGCAGAGGACAGTGGTCCAGGAGAAGCCAGCCTTACACATACCTTGATGTTAGAAACTAACTCCCAGAACTTTGAGGCAAACAAACTTGTGTGTGTAAGCACATACACCTCCCAAAAAACCTACTACAGGGAAGCCTTGCTTCTTGCTTACATCTGCCTTTTGCCCAAGATTAAAGATATATTTTAAGGAAAAATATCATATAAATATACAAACACAAGCCAAATGTTCTCCCCGCCTCTTTAGCGCCCCTCCCCTTTTCTCTCCTTCCCCCTCCCTTCCTCCCTCCCTCTCACTCTCTATCTCTAGCTGTCCCTCCTCTCTCTCTCATCTCTCTCCTTCACGACCCTTTCCTTCCTCCCTCTGTCCTTCCTCTTTATTGGTGTCTCTCTCCTACTTTTCTCCTTTTCTCATTCCTCTTAATCTCTCTCCCTCCTTATCTGTCTACTGCTGTCCTTCCATTCTCTCATTTCTCTGTCTCAAGCTCTCTCTTTCCTCCTTCTCCCCTTCTTCCTCCCCTCCTCCCACCCCTCTCCGCTCCCTCATTGCTTTCACCACTGAGCTGAAGGCTGGATCTACCGTTCCCAAGCCATGACCTTCCTTGACTCTTCAGGGCCTCTCAGAATGCCACCCCCCCACCCCTTCAGTGTTTTTCCAGCTTCCACTTCCAGCCTTGTATCTGTACAGCTTACAAGTCCTTGAAATGCCATTAGCATTATCAATCCCATTTCTGAGACTCTAGCCCAAGGCAGTGATCTGACATCAGAAGCTTGCCTGAAAGACAGATGCTCATCAGAACATTGTGGCAAAGAGCAAAAACCCTGCGATGTGGTTCAATGCTCTCTTTAAGGACTGTCTGCAAAACATGGCTATCCATACCATTTAAAATTATCTTGAAGAGAGAAGAAGAAAAAGATTTCAATGTGTTGTGGGACAACTCTACAGGACATATATAACAGTTGTATTCTTAGTGGTACTCAAGTATCCTCCAAGTTAAGAGTGGATGTGATTTCAATCATTACTTTGTGTTTCCCTGGGGTTTCTCAACTGCTCTATAAAGAATGAAAACAAGCTTCCATAGTGGAAGGGGGCACGAAGGTTATATTTTAAATTCCTCCATTTTTTTCAGTTTACTGCTTCCAGACTATAAATTGTCACATAATCCTGACACACAGAACCAGACGTCATACAACTTGATTTCCAGTCCTGGATTAGCCTTGATGAGTTTTGACTTTGGTAAGACCTTTCTTTTCCCTGGACCTCAAGAAATGGAGGTGATAACACCATAAAACAATAGGATTGAGGTAATAGCACCAACTACAAGGGCACAGACAATGCACAGAGGAAAGTAACTAAGAAAATAGCTCATAAAATAAGCTGTTCTAACTGGAAGAGCTAGAAATTGGGAGGAAGGGGGGTGGGTAACTAAGGATGCACATGGAGGGAGGGTGGGACACGGGCACTGAGGGACCAAGGAATGAGAGGCGGAAGAAGGCCTGTCATGGTGACTTGGGGATCCCTGCCTCCAAACAACTATTTTTAAATGGTGATTTTTAGCCAGGTGTGGTGATATATAACTGTAATCCCAACACTTAAGAGGCTGAAGCAGGTGAACTGAAGCAGGCCTCTGTGAATTAGAGGCCTATCTGGGCTGCATAGTGAGTTCCAGATCACAAACTAATTAATTAATTAAAATGGCGGCTAGGGAATTGGCTCAGCTGGTAAAGTGTTTCCAAGCACAATGACCTGAGTTCAGCTCTTCCAGAATCCACTTTAAGAAATCAGGTGTGGCAATATGACTGTGATCCCAGCACTAGGGAAGTTTAGGCAAAAGGAGCCCTCAGGCTTGCTAGCCAGCTAGTCTAGCTAATCAGTGAACTCTAGGCAAATGTGAGACCCTGCCTCAAAAATTACAGCAAATGAGGTCGGAGAGATGGCTCAGCAGTTAAGAACTGTGGCTGCTCTTGCAGAAGACCCAGGTTCCATCTCCAGCACCCACATAGTGGCTAACAACTGTCCATAACTCCAGTTCCAGGGGAGTTTGATACATTCTTCTGACCTCCATGGGCATTGCATGACACGAATGCACTTACATACATGCAGGCAATACATTCATATACATAAAAATAACAAAATAATTTTTTAAATTACGATGGAGAGCAATTAAGATAGCTGTTGTCTTCTACTAGCTTCTGTGCTCATGTGTACCTACCAAACACACACACACACACACACACACACACACACACACATACAACACACGCACACGCACACAAAAATAAAAATGGCAGTTTTGACTTCAAAAGGATGGTAGAAGAGGGAAGAAGATCGAACATAGTCAAGGCTGATTCATACGACCACCCGCTCCTTAAACCAGCCAACATGGTACATCTAAACCTTTCCTCATAACAACCTTCCTTAAAGATTATTTGAGTTGATACAGATCCTTTCATTTAAGATAAAATATAGTACCCCTTCAGGACACCCCTCCATCCCAGAACCTCCCATCTCTCAAAGTGGCTCCTAGAGAAAAACTCAGAAATACCCTACAGACTTTTGACCACACGTGCTGTTAAGCCAGGACAAACCACAAACCCTAAAGTTTCAGAAGCCAAATTCTGCAAGGTCTTTCCTTCTAACAGAAACCAACCAAATGTTTGTAAAACAAAACCAGCTACTCCAAAGTCACAAAGGGCCTGGAGCTGAGGTGGGTACCCCTGCCGGATAGGGACCTAGCCAGTAGCCAGGTTGCCTAAGATTCTGTCTCCTTCCCTAATGGTAGAAATTGAAAACTGGCCTTCCAGGGTGATTGGAGGATAATGGGTGAAGGGAGGCACTGGGGTCCTGTTTGCTCCTGTTACCCTCCCTCCAGGAAGTATGAATGTAGAAAACTGAAGCCTGGGGTCAGGAACCAAGAGGGCCTTTCCCTTCTACCACTAGTCCCAGCTTGGGAGAAATGAAGTCAGAAGTCAGACAAGAACATCTGAGGAACAATGGGCACAGCAGGGCTGCCTGTGCCTCTCCCCTCATGCCTGCCTCTGCCCCTGACAGGCTCACCTGTAAATGAGGCCGTACTTCTGGAAGTTCTTCATGTGATGATAATGGACTCGGTATGTGCCATTCTCCCTCCAGAAACGGTACAGGTTTAGCCAACCATTGTCACCAGGGGAAGGTATCTCATTGAAGGGACGAGGACTGTGAGTGGAGATGCTAGCTCCCCCTCCAGCGGCCAGCCTGGGATACACTGAGCCCTGCCAGGTAGGGCTCAAGAAAGGCTGGCTGCGTTTGACCAGCATTGAGCGCAGGGGAAGTCCCTTGGCCAGCATACTGTCCCCACAGCTTCTTGGTCTTGCTCAACTGCAGCAGAGCCTGCCAGAGTAGCTCTGCTCCTAAAGCCCAGGGCCACACTTATAATCACTCGCTCAAGGTTAAAAGAGAAGCTGCTGAAGCACTGGACCTCCCTCTTCCTCATGAGGGCTGGACCCACATAGTCCCTCCCAGACTCTGTCCTCGGTGCCTGGCCTCTCGGTTCCTGCGATCATTGCTCATGTTTCAACCTGAGCTGGGGCCTTCTGTCAGCCCCTAGATGGGGTTCAGGTGCTCAAAGACATCCTTTAAGATGAGAGGTAGCCTAGGATTACAGGACAGGAGGGGCTGACCACTGGCCAGCTTTGAAAGAGTAAACATTTTCCTTGTGGCTCTATTACTTACAAATGGGTGATTATAAATTATTTTTGTACACTTCCCTGATTTTAAAATCTTTATTACTATTTTTAATTTTTAATATTTTAATTATTATTTTTATGTTTATGTGTATGTTTTGCCTGCATGTATGTAAATGTGTCCATGTCCTGCAAAGCCCACAGAGGCCAGAAGAAGGTGTCAGGTCCCCTGAAACAGGAGTTACAGATGGTTGTTAACTGCCATGTAGGTTCTGGGAATCAAACCTGGGTCCTCTGGAAGAACAGCAAATGTTCTTAACCACTAAACCATTTCTCCAGCCCCTATTATTTTTTTAAACAGGGTTTCACTATGTAGCCCTTGCTTGCCTGGAACTCACTATGTAGCCAGGCTGGACTTGAATTCACAGAGATCCCCCTGCCTCTGCCTCCTGATGCTAAAATTAAAGGCATGCATTGTTACACCTAGCTCTGGTTCCCTCATTTTTAAAGTTCTACTTTTTTTTTTCTGCTTTCCAAGTCAAAAAAAAAAATACTTCATATTCTCTGAAACTGTTCCAATAGGTAGGTGTTGCTATTATTACTTTTGTTTACTAGATCTTCCTGTTTCAGTACCCTAAATGTGGATTTACAGGCATGCATGACTACACCCTACTGCTGTTAATACTTTTTAAATTGCAAGTATATTTGTTCATTTAGAACACGGAGGAAAAGGAGGAAAGGACAAATTTAAAATCTTCTGAGTATCACTGGAGATGTAGCTCAGTGGTAGAGTATTTGCCTCAGATGCCCCGGGTATGATCCCCAACACTGAAAAACAGAAAAAAAATGTTTAGAAAGACGTTGAACTGGGCATGGTGGCTCACATCTGTAATCCCAGCCCTTGGAAGGCTGAGGCACCCAGACTGAGTTCAAGACCAGCCTAGGAAGAAGGGAGAGGGAAAGAGAGAGAGAGAGTGTGTTGAATTTTTAGTGCTAAGTGAAAAAGAAGCTAGACACAGAAGAGTACAAACTGTTGGATTCCATTGTGATGAAATTCAAGGACTGGCAAAACTGATTTATGGTAGGAGGTTAGAGAGATGGCTCGGTGGTTAAGAGCACTTGTTGTTCTTGCAGACAACTGAATTTCGTCCCCAAGATTCACATAGTGGCTCACAACTGTCTGTAACTCTAGTTCCAGGGGATCTGGTGCCCTCTTCTGGCTTCCATGGATACGAGGCACATACATAGTGCACAAACATACATGCAGAATACTCATACACATAAAGTAAAAATAAATCTTTTTATGTGGCTGGAGAGATGGCTCAACAGTTCAGACCACTGGCTGCACTTCCAGAGGACTCAGGTTCAGTTCCCAATACCCACATGATGGCTACCAACTATCTGCAGCTCCAATTCCAAAGGATCAGATGCTCTCTTCTGACCTTCACGGTCATTGCATGACATGGGTACACTTACACAGATGCAGTAAAAACCCTCATACACATAAAATTTAAAAACAAAACATTTTAAAAATTAAAAAAATTAATTTATGATATCAGGTGTTACTCTCTTGTGGAATAATTATTGGGAGAGTGTACCGAAGAAAATTTTCTGGAGTGCTAGAAATACTCTTTCTTGCTTTTTGTTTTTGAGATAGTTCTTTCTATGTTGCCTGGTCTAGCCTAGCCAACCCTCCTGCCTCTTCCTTCCAAGTGCAGAGATTTTTGGTGTGATCATTTGGCCTAGGAACATTCTTTCTTCAGTTATGTGCTTATATATGTCAAAACCCACAGAGTTATTTGCACTCTTATGACTATTTTTCATTTTATTAAATGTTATTCAACTAAAAAGTTAACAACAGGTTTATGTGTTTTCTAGCAGATTATTTTTCCTTTGAAAAATAATGTGTCTTTACAAAGAGGACCCCAACTCATTGAGTAGTAGTTAAACCCGTTAAGTTTTGGTGCAGTTTTGCCCCTCTTTAGGTACTGTGGGAAGGAGAGTGGATTGTCATTGGGAGCAAAACACAGCCCACCCTGATACTGCAAAGAGGATGCAGGAGAAGCCAGGCGTGGTGATGCATGCCTATGATCCCAGGACTTGAGAGGTAGAGGCAGTCACACCAAGAGTTCAAGATCATGCTTGGCTACAGAGTGAACCAGAGGCCAGTTGGGGCTATCCGAGACCCTATCTCAGGGGGAAGGTGGGGGGTATACTAGAACTAGAATCCCGAGACTCTAAACAGTCCTGTGTGTCACTGCCATCTGGAAAGGAAAAGGCAGCAATTCATTAAGTCAGGTCCTAGCAAGGATAACAGCCCATCATGCCTGAGCTGTTGTCCCACTGATTTGGATTAACAACCATCTGACTCTCAACTTATGGGGCCTATTATGGTCTTGGCTTTTATCAAAACAGCTGGGCATCTTAGGTTGGGTTGTTCAGGTATAAATTCCCAAGTCTTCTCTCAGGGCAGAAATTCCTTGTCCTTCTGAGCAAAACAAGAGAAGTCCAGACAGGCAGGAAGCAGCAGAGGGAAAAGGAGAGGCCAGGTGGGAGGCAGGGCAGGAGGGAACAGCTGAGGCAGGCTGGAGCTGGGGCGGGAGACAAAGGGATAAAGCCCTTGAGGGCAGGAGAAGACCAGCTACAGAGAAAGCTCATTCTAGTGATTCCATAGCAATAGTAAGTGGGGCTCAGAACAAAAGAGAGGAGGTAAGCTCACAAGAAGGTAGTGACTCCCTGGGGAATGGATCTGTCCTCATTTCACTGGGATGCTACCAAAGTGAAGGATGACCCCCCCACACCCCCAGTGAGTAGGACATGTCCAATAGCCTGAAGCTTCTCCCTCAGGCTCCCTGTGTTCCCATCCTACCTGGTCTCCAGGCCCTTGGCCTTGGATGTCTTCCAAAGCCCTTTCAACCTGTTGCCTCTGGGGAATAGACCAGCCACCCAATGAAAGTCCAGATTCCTGAACTCAGGAACTCAGAGATCAGCCCCTGAGAGGAGATGACACCGAGTGCTGCAAGTGCCCTGGCTTGCTTGGCCTTGGGCAAGAGTCCTGAGTCTCATCTGTGTCAGTAGAATGTGTTTAACACTTGCCGTAGGCAAGGTTCTTTACTCAACCTCATTCTTTCCTTACCAGGTGGGTTCAAGAACTTTCCCGGAGTTATGGAGGAGGAAAGGAGCCAGATTGTTCCTGGCTAGGGACTGGGCTCTCAAGCCCTCCTTACCATGCTGCTGAGAAGTCGACCTGGGACACAAGCTAGGACAGTTGGCATTGTGAGGGCACACCCTGCAAACTGGAAACTGCTGCCTGGATTATCTAATGTCACAGACTGAGAGACCTGAAGAGGCTATGAAAGGGTCATTTCTGTCAGTACCCATTGTACAGATGAGAAAGCTGAGATGTAGGAAGGGGTATGTCTTGAGTCACTAGAGTACAGCTCTAGGTCCCCCATAGAGCTATGAGGCCCTAGCCAAGTGTGGCTCTCCCCACCCCTAACCTCTCCTGGTTGGGCCAGCCTGACCCCCAAATCACTGCAGATTTCTGCTGAGCAGGTTTCCAGCTATGTTGGAAGATAAGGCCAGCAGAGGAAGAGAGCTTTTTCATCCCCTCTGGCCTTGGAGAGACTTGCATTGAGAGACTTGAGCTACCAGAAACACGCCTTTAATATGCGTATTTAGTAACTGCTTGGGCTACCACAGAGATGTGCCAGACCAGGAATGCAGTATGCAAAGGTAAGTCCTATGCAGCTGACCTGCCAGTGTTAATTGTTTCTACAATGAAGCCTTCTCTGCCTTGCTTCAGACAGTACACAGTGTTGTAAACTGCACACCAGCACACCTTCTACATGAGGTCATCCTTGTGGATGACAACAGTAACTTCAATGATTTAAAAGGGGAACTAGATGAGTATGTCCACAGATACCTCCCTGGAATGAGCAGAGTCATCAGAAATCCAAACGTGTTAAGCTATAGTCACACCTCCTTCCCAAGGAGTTGAGGGGGGAGTCAGTCATTCCTCCCACACAATCAGTCGATCTTAGCTGCATGTGGGGGAGGGGTTAAGGATATATAGGCTGAGAATGCCATGAGGCACCTCTCTTGCCATTTTGTATGGCTGTCAGTCAGGAAGTCACAGGATCTATATTCTATATTTGAGTGTGGACTTTCCAGCACAGCTGCAAATGAGGGGGTCCCACTCTCCTGAAAATAAACCCTCACTCTATGCTCTGTTAGCAAGCCCAATAAATTTGTTAGGATTTTCAAAGAAAAAAAAAATGCCAAGTGTGAGGGACTGATTCGAGGCGGAATGATGGGAGCAGCCCAAGCTACAGAAGTCCTGGCGCTCCTGGACAGCCACTGTGAAGTCAATGTGAGGTGGATGCAGCCCTTGCTGGCCGTCATCCAAGAGGACCATGCTGTGCCCTGTGAGTGACATCATCAGTGCTGACACACTTGCCTACAGCTTGTCCCCAGTCATACAGGGAGAGTTCAACTGGGGGCTGCATTTCAAGTGGGATTTTGTTCCCCTTTCTGAGCTGGGAGGAGTGGATGGAGCCATTGTACCAATAATGTCACCCACAATGGCTGGAGGATTGTTTGCCATGAACAGACAATATTTCAATGAACTTGGACAGTATGACAGTGGCATGGATATCTGGGGAGGAGGAAAT